TTTTTTGTCTTTTTGAGACAGGGATTTGCTATGCAATTCAGGCTGACCTTGAACTCACTTTGTGCCCAGCTGGGCCTGGAACACTCTGCAATATTCCTCTTAAGTGCTGGAATTACAGGTGTGCACCACCATGTTTGGCCTTGTATCTATCTTAAGTAGCTAGACAAAAAGAACAAAATAACTCTCAAAATAATATGATGAAATAAATACTTAAACATAAAAAAATGGTAAATTTATAAGTACTGGTAAGAATAGGAAGGTAGGATACACTGAACAAAAAAATCCAAACAAAGAAAAAAAAAACACATTATGGCTAGTATGCAGGGCATTGTACAGAGATTGTGTGCTGCTCACCCCATGTCTGTTTTGAGCTGGTACATGGCTGTTTAGAATAAAGCACATTTCCTGGACTCCGAAAGCCAGTGAGATGCAAGCAGAGGTGGAATGTGGGCTTTCAGAAAGGCTGCACCTTTTTTGCTCCTTCCCACTTCCTACTGGCTGAAATGTGGCCGTGAGGGCTGCGGCCTGAACCCATTGTACTGAAGGCTGTGGAACACAGTGTTGAAGGAGCAGGGGACCCAGCGCCACAGACTGTCATGCCAGCTCTGGACTGCCTGCCTCTGCACTTGTACATGACCAAGAAACATACTTCCATCCTGTTCCTATCACTGCTATTTTGGGTTTCATTCCTTGCAAATGAATTCATTTCTGATGGATATGACTATAACTACACTTTCGTGAAAAAAACAAACAACCATCAGATGGGCAATTTTTGACTTTGATACAGAAAACTATAAGATAACCTGCTTAAGCTCCAGACATAATCATTTTACATAACAATAAGTCCAGAGGCAGGGTGGCCTGGGGTTGGTTAGTTCAGTGGCTTGACCTCCTTATCCAAGGCTCAGCTACTTCCTTTCCTTGATCTGCCATCCTGTGGCTAAGTCTCATCGTAACTACAAGATGGTGGCTGTAGCTCCAGGCACCACATTTACACATTCCAGTCACCAGTTGAAGCAAAGGGACTGTCTTCCAGCTGCAGCTTTTCATTTTTTATTTTCAACCTTTTTTTTAAGAGCAAAGAAGCTTTTCTAGAAACCTCCAGCCAATTTTCCTTCACACTTTGGCCAGAGTTGGCTTGTGAGTTTCTCTTTTAAATCAGTCTCTGTCTTAAAGTGATCAGGATTTATTCTTGATTCTCTATAGAACAACAAAATTGTAGTTCTGATAATTTAGTAGGAAAGAAAAGAAAAGAAAAAGACAAAACATCTGCCACATTATACAGGGAGGTGGCTGAGAACTCCAGAAGAATAAACCCCATGTTGCTTGGGGCAGGTGTGGCCTGGGAGTGGAGCTGGACTGGGGCTGTGTGGGTCTTCAGTAGACACTGTGGTTGCCCATCCGCTGACCCCCACTTACCTGGTGCTGCTCACAGCAGCATCTTGTTTGAGGCCCTGAGGGATGAATCATGACTGGCCCACGGAAGGTGTGGCAATCTCGCTCCTTTTTTTCTACCCCGCTGCTTTTTCAGTGTCCCTTGTAGCTAATGAAGGAAAATTTATTGGCAAATGATTTCCACCTTGATAAATACTGTCTGACTTCCCCCTTTTCTTCTTGCTTGGGATATAGTCTAAGAATGTGGTCGTCATTCCAGCCATGAGGGAAATGCCTGGAACATTCTGGAAATGCAGACCCAGTGTCCTGACATGGGAGAGATAATGAATCAACCCTAAATTGCCCACCTCTAGGCATCTTGATAGAGAATGATCTTATAAGGATTCTGCAGCTTCACATGATAAGTCCACTGTATATATTCTTTTATCATATATTCTCTGTTCTGCCTTACTAGTATAATGGAAATATATTGTTACCACAAGTCAGAGTTCAGTGTAAAAAATATGTTACCTGGCATTGGCATCCTTGGTGTCCCGAATGTCTGGAAGAGCACTCTTCGAGAAGGAGAGCCAGGGAAGAGCTGAGGAAAGGAACAAGCTGTTCTTTATAATTATGTTCTAACTATGTGGTGCAAGGGGCAGCCTTGCTGCTGGGGGTGACGGAGAATGCGTTTCTCTATCACTATTTGGGTTTGGACCAGAAGTTATAAAATGTCAACCTCTGGTCAGAATTTGGACATGTTTTGATGGTGGCTGGTGAGTTTTTAAAAATTGGAATTAGTACTCAGGCGCAGTGGTGCATGCCTGTAATTCCAGCACTTTGGGAGGTCGAGGCAGGAGATCACAAATTCAAATCATGTTTGGATAACTTTGTGAGATCTTGCCTCAGAATAAAACATGAAAACAGACTAGAGATGTAGCTCAGTGTGAAGGCCCTGGCTTCTATCCCTACTGCTGGTGTGGCCTATAGGAGGAATTATTTAAGAACTGAGCCATGTATGGTGTTCTGCCTGTAATCCCAACATATGGAAGGCTGAGGCAGGAGGATTGACGCAAGTTCAAGGCCAGCCTTGGCTATATAGTGAGTTCAAGGCCAGCAAGACCCTCTTTAAAAAAAAAAAAAGAAAGAAAAGAAAAAGAAAAGAAAGGAAAGAAAGAAAAATAAATATTAGGGGCTGGGGAGATAGCTCGGTAGAATAAGTGCTTGCCTGGCAAGGGCCCGAGTTCAATCCCTGGTTCTGCCAATAAAAAAAGAAAAAAAAAAGAAATAATTCATATAAAAATCTGCTTACCATTTTTTAAAAGGAAAACTGAATGAACTTTGTGGCAGTACAGGTTTCACTTCTTGACATCAGTGACAGGCAGCGTAGCTCTTGCCTCCCTTTGGGATGGGCAGGTGCTTCAGTTTGCCATAAACTCTGATGCTCCCTAACACCCCTCAGCCAGTCTCCCAAGATGCTTCACTGATGTTTATCACCTGTCTAATTCTGTGAACACTGAGTTAGTTAGTGACTTCTGGTTTTGGCTTCAGAATAAATTGTGTGTGTGTGTGTGTGTGTGTGTGTGTGTGTGTGTGTGTGTACGCGTGCGCATACATGTACAAGATTCAGCAGTTGTTTCTGAGTGTCTGTCAGCTTCAGAGAGGGGGCAAGTCATGAAGAGGACTGGACTTGGAGCAGCTACACACGCTCCAGACTGGCCTGGAAACCTGGAAGAGCTGGGAGCCAAGGGTGCCCTTCACTGCCCTGCTAGGGTGCCAGGAGTCTTAACTACCCCCAGAACTGAAGCTCCGGTAGCTGCATGAGGGTGACAGTTCTGACACAAGTCCTACATCTGTGACCAAGCTGTAGGGTTTCCTGTCACATAGGTGGAGATTTATGTGTTGGAGATTTGAAGAAGGTGGTGCACTCAGAGAAAAGCATGAGCTGGCAAGCAGAAGGAAAGCAAGATCAGACTCTGGGAGCTGTGTCCTTGCATGCTGACATTGTAGTGTGGGGAGACCCTTCCATTTAGGTCCTTCTCTATGTACTCGTAAGAATAAGATGGTGGCGAGGGCAAGAATGAGAAGCCAGCTTCTGCCTTCCCACACCCTTTTTCCCCTCAATACCAGAACATCACATAAGTTTATTTCAGATGTTCTACATCCTCTTTTTTATCCCACTATGGCAGGCAGACAGCTCCCTAGTCCTTGGATGGTTTGGATGGATTATGGAGCCTGTGAAGGTGTTATGTTATGGAGGTTGCATATGGGAGCAAGGCTGCTAGTCAGCTAACTGCAGTAGGAAGATGATTCTGGATTGTCCGAGAAGGTCCAATGCAGTCACAAGGTGCAAGAGAGAGGCAGAAGTGGAGGACCTTAGAGATGGTAGTCAGGTATGGACTAGGGAGGAGCTTCGAGTCAAGGACAGCAGTTGACACTTGCAAACTGGAAAAGACAGGGAGACAGATTCTCTCTCTCCTGGAGCCTTTGGAAAGGAATGCAGACTTGCTGACACACTGAAATTAGCCTGAAGAGGTCCCGGACTGCCATACTAGAGAACTACAAAATAACACATTTCAGTTCTTTTAAGCCACAAAGGTTTTGGTAATTTGTTACAGCAGCAAGGGGAGCAAATACCCCAGGCCATGGGGGGAGGGGTCCACGTGTGGAAGAGATCCAGCTCACCGCCTGCATCCACCTCCAGATGGTGAGGGCACCTTCAGATGACTGCTGGCCCTGCTATCCGTCGCCTCAGCCTAGATTCTTAGCTGAGACCTCAGACAAGCTGGCCTTTATTTATTTGTTTGTTTATGCTCAATTTCCTGACTCACATAAATCTATAAGGAAATGATTATTTTTATGTCACTGAGCTTTGGGGTTGTTATATAGTGTAGTAACTAGGACAGTGATCTATCCGACACATAATCCCCACCATTTCCTCTTTTTTTTTTTTTTTCTCAGATAGCTTTTCTTCCTGGTACAGCCATGTTGGAGCATCAGACACTAATCCTGATTAACCTAAGCCAATGACTGGCTTGAAGGTGATCATGTGATCCAGTTCTGACCAATGAGAAAAGAAGTGAAGACTGATGGAGAACTCAGAGAGAATCTTTGGAGATGAAAGGGAGAAGCTCCGAAAGAAGTGACCTTCTTGCTTCCACCAGCCCTTGTCATGTCTGCATTTGATGCCTGAAACTGGGAAGCCATGTTTGGGCCCTAAGGATAGTTAGCCCAGGGCAAACTGAAATTCATTAGATGACAGAGTGAATAAATGGAGAAACTTCCATGTGTGCTCAAAGAGGCCCGTGTAATGTGCACATCAGCACTGTTTATAATAGCAAAAAAACTAACAGGAAAAAAGATAAATCTTTTTGTTCACACAATGGAATACTATACAGTGATAAAAATAAAACACGGATACAAATAGCAATAAAAATGAGTCTCATGCTATTGAATATGAAAAAAATGGTTGAAGAATATGCAGAGTATATTGAGTGAAGCTTAACCACAAGCAATGTTATGTTTCAGAAAGTATGTATGTAGGAAAAAGAATAACATAATGCATAGAAATGCATGAATAAGTATAATTTATAGAATACATGTTGTGTACTATCATGCTAGTAAACAACAATTTGAATTCATACACTAATATGTAGAGAGAGAGAGTAGAGTTATTAATATTCCCACTTTGCAGATGAGAAAGTTGAGGCCTAGAAAATTATGCTATTTAGATGGCATATTCCTAAATATTATAGCACATTCCTAAAAATTACCCCATGCCCTTATATACACAGGACATCACCAAATATTCAAAGACATTTAATCCAATGGGAAATATCACCTCTAATTTCAAGGTGAAAGGAAGCTAAAGGACGTCCCAGGTCCCACAGAGACCAAATGCCTGAGATGGGATCGAATGTGGTTTTTTTCAAGTTCCAAAGCCTGTTTTTTTCCACCAACATCTTGTCATATTCATGAAGCATGGGAACATAAACACACACACACACACACACACACACACACACACACACACACACACCCTAGTCTTGAACCTGAACCAGATGGAACTGGAGAAAATTGCACACACTGCTGAACTCAGAGCTCCCACCCTGTCATTAGTATTATTTTTAACTGAACCCTGAACTGAAGAAGGGAACAGTGCTTGAATTGAAACCGAACTTGTGTATTTTTTCAAGCTGTTGAACTAAAGTCTTCAAATATTCTTGAGACAAAGACAATCACATGAAGAATTCTATCTTCATCTCTCCACTGTGTATTTTGATTTGTCTGAGGTCACATGCTTAAGAGAGAGCTGAGAGAATCTTAATCTCTCTAAAGCAGCTGTAGGAGAGTTTCTTAGTCCTCTTCTTCCCCTCCATTCCCTTCTGGCAGGGGCTTGGACGTCCCCGTATCTGCCAGCTGTGACCCCTGTGCCCTGTACCTTCCTTCAAAGCACACACTACTGTTGCTGTTTACAGAATGAAGGAAGGTGTGAGCCGGGTCCTGTGAGAGACATATTTTCTGCCACCTGAGGACGAAGTCCAGCCTGAAGCTGACTCCTGGGGGTCTCAGGCAGAAGCTTTGAGCTCCTGGCTAAGAGATCAAAGCTTTTCATCAAGGACAGTGATCCTCAGTATCCTGTGCAGCCTGGCTGGGGAATCTCAGGGGCCAGGTGGCCTTCATCTCATCAGATCAGGCCAGCAGTTTGTGACCCTCCCTCACAGCAAGAGGGGGGGACTCTGTGGAGACTTGGGGCCCTCTGGGGAGATATTCATCTTTCCAGAGCTTTATCATTTTTTCCATAACACTATCCTCCCTTTAAGGTGGAATGTCCCAGCTGTGGCCAAGGGCTCTTAACGTGGCGTGTACGTGTGCATGCGCATGCGTGCATGCGTGCGTGCGTTTGTGTGTGTGTGTGTGTGTGTGTATGTGTGTGTGTGTACTAGGAACTGAAACCAGGGTTTTTGTACTGAGCTAAATTTCCAGCACTTAAAAAAAAAAAAGTTTGATTTTGAGGCAGGATCTCATGGAATCGCCAAGTTGCCCAGGCTGGCCTTCAACTTGTATACTCATACCTCAGCCTCACAGACCTCTGGGATGACAGGTGTGCACGACCATATCCACCCTCTCTTAATGTACTTTCATTCTCTACCTGCTCCCAGGGCACAGGGCACAGACTCCTTCCCTTTTATAGTACTTGGTCTGGGCTTGTTACTCCAACAAATGGTACAGTATAGGCAAACCTTTAACACCACGGGACCAGACGGCCTTGTGTGAATTCTGTCCCCAGCACTGCCCACTGTGCAACCTTGGTGGGGAATTAAACCTCTCCATGCTGCTGTTTCTCCATCTGAAAACTGGCACGGTGACCATATACAAGTTTTGAAGATTTAGTAAATTGATTGTGAACACTATTTCACCCATAAAAGTGACAAACTTGCTGTTATTCTGACATGACCTTGGGTTTGGACAGTTCATCTCTTTTTTTCCTCAGTCTCTCAGACCCTGCAGTGAAGACAACAGTTCCTGCCTGCTGCCTGCCTCGTGGTTATGCAGCTTATTTGTGCAGACCAGCCTTTCTTGCTGTGTGGCCAAGAGGCGCTCAGTCTCTGTGTGTGCACCTATTAAATGGTACTTATGAAGTAGAGGGCTGGGACAAAGAAGTGAGAAACGCATAGCCAGCCTGTAGCACGGAGCTCAACACCAACACATAGGAAAAGGTATGGAGCTCAAACTACCACAGAACAAGTTGAAACAGTTGCTTTTGTTTGTTTTTATAGATGTGGAAGAACTTTTCTTTCCTTCTTCTTCTTTTTTTTTTTTCGGTATAGGATCTTGCTATGCAGCTTGGACTTGTAGCAATCCTCCTGTCTCAGCCTCTCCAGTGCTGGGATAACAGGCATGCATTACTGCCCCTGGTTTTGGTGGTTGGCTCACCAAGGGGCCAGCATAGCATGTGACACCAGGGATCAAACCTGGATCCTTGTACTTGCCAGGCAGACACATACAGACTGCCAAACTATCTTCCCTGCTGAGAAAGAACTTTTTAAACCCTGATGGGCTGTGTCCCTGAGAAGGGTATTTGGGTTTCTCACAAGCTTTCCTAGCCATACCTTCTTCATCAACACCTACCATCACAGAGGCCAGGACTAGAAGGGCCATTCCACAGGCTGGGTTAAATAATCCACTGAGCAGATAGTTACATAGTACCTGTGCTTGGCTTGGCTTGGGGCTAGGAGTGTTTTTTTTTTTTTTTTTTTTTTTTT